AAGACATGTATCATATGACCTCGCTGATAGGAGGCATTTTTAACCTCAGGAAAGAAACTGAGGGTTGCTGGAGTGGTGGGGGTTTGGAGGGATGGGGTGGCTGGGTGATAGACATTGGGGAGGGTATGTGCTGTGGTGAGTGCTGTGAATTGTGCAAGACTGTTGAAGCACAGATCTGTACTTCTGAAACAAATAATGCAATATATGTTAAGAAAAAAAAAGAAGAAGATAGCAGGAGGTGAAGAATGAAGGGGAGTAAGTTGGAGGGGGAGACAAACCATGAGAGACGATGTACTCTGAAAAACAAACAGGGTTCTAGAGGGTAGGGGGGTGGGGGGATGGGTTAGCCTGGTGATGGGTATTAAAGAGGGCACGTTCTGCCTGGAAAAAAAAAAGACTAATTTTTCTAGTAGAATTAACTCTGGGTCAGGCTTAGTTATTTGAGCTCCAGAGGATACATGTTGATTCTTAATGTTTACAAATTCTGGTAATAATTCTTTTATAATATTCTTCTATAGGATCTTTTAGTAATGTAATTTATCTGAATGATATTGAATGATATTTGGCATGTGTAACTTCTGTGCTAAGGTTAATGCTCTGACACAGAAAATACTGAAATAAATGCCTCTTAAGTCTATAATTGGTAATTTGAGAGGTTCTACATGTTTGTGATTTTCTTGGTATTGGTTTTTGCCTTTCAGTATATACTACTACTGCTACCTCTTTGAGACTTAGTAAATATTGAACTATAGTTTTCCTGTGATTCGATTTTATATGTTTAACACTATCCACCAGGTATTTGTATTGTTAATCCATTTGCTGATATTGTTGATTAAATGTCTTTCCTTCCATATTGTTTTGTTACAATTCCTGTTTCAGACACCATTGAATTCTAATATATAGTGCTATGTATTTCTGAACTTTTCTTTTTTTAAAATTTCATTTCTTTTTATTTTCAACTCCACATACAGTGTTATATTAGTTTCAGTTGTACAGTAGAGTGATTTGACAGTTGTATACATTACTCATGGTTATCACAAGTGCCCTCCTTAATCCCCATTACCTATTTTACCCATCCCCCGCTCCCTCCCCTTTGGTAACCATCAGTTCTCTAAAATTAAGAGTTTTTTTCTTGGTTTGTTTCTCTCTCTCTCTTTTTCCCTTTGTCCATTCATTTTGTTTCTTAAATTCCACATATGATTAAAATCATATGGTATTTTGTCTTTTCTCTGACCGACTTATTTCACTTAGCATAATACTCTTTAGCTTTAGTCATGTCATTGCAAATGGCAAGATTTCATTCTTTTTTTGGCTGAGTAATAATCCATTATATATGTTTTATATTTAGTTTTATATCTTACACCACATCTTTATCCATTCATCAGTCAATGGACACTTGGGCTCTTTCCATAATCTGAGTATTGTTGAAAATGTGCTATGAACATCACGATGCATGTATCCCTTTGAATAAGTATTTTTGTATCCTTTGGGGAAAGACCTTAGAGGTGCAATTGCTGCATCACAGAGTAGTTCTGTTTTTAACTGGGTTTTTTTTTTGCATTGTTAGTCTTTTTATTTTTTTATTTTTTTAAATTTCATTATGTTATGTTAATCACCATACATTACATTATTAGTTTTTGATGTAGTGTTCCATGATTGTTTGTGTATAACACCCAGTGCTCCATTCAGCACTCTTTAATACCCATCACCAGGCTAACCCATCCCCTCACCCCCCTCCCCTCTAGAACCCTCAGTTTGTTTCTCAGAGTCCATAGTCTCTCATG